TTTGTTTGAATTCAATTTCTATGTTATATTTAAACAAGCAAATTGTATTTGTAAGACTGCTCTGTATTTGTTTGAAATTCAATTTCTATGTTATATTTAAACAAGCAAATTGTAATCCGTTCTTAGGATGTTTATATTAGTTGTTGTTTTGTGGGATTAGCGGTACAGGGGGAAAGATAAGCATTCATTTACTCAGTGGACAGAGGCGGAGTTAATTACTCATGAGCACTTGGTGCAATCCAAAGAATTGAGCGGTTCCCCTTTAATTCTCTAATTTTGATGAATATTTTTGTCATTTTTGGTAAAAAGTGATTTTTTTTCGACTTCTTGTTAAAAATCGCAAGTGCAATTGCTTTGATATTACATATATAGGTACTACATGTGGACCTCTCTCAGATTTGTTCATTTCATGATGATATCTTTTAGTCTCTAATTTTGGTGAATATTTTTTTAAATTTTGGTAAGAAGTGATATATTTGACTTGAAAACCGTTTTTCGTGCTGATATCTTCAATTATCTAATTTTGAGGATTATTTTTGGTGAAAAGTGATATTTTTAAATTCTTGTTGAAAACAGTAAGTCCTGTTGCTTTGATACTATACATATTGTTCATTTTCTAATGATATCTTCTGTTCTTTAATTGCATTGTTCATTGCTAATAGCAGAGCTATCTCAGCCGAGAGGCTGCTTGTTTACATTGGAAGCAGATGCATGATGGAAATAGGATCCTGTCATTAAATGCAAACATTCACACAGCACAAAATTTTTATTTGTTATTTAGGACATTACTATAAGCAGGAATAGGATGTGTACGGGTAATAAATATTATTAGAAGAATATCAGAAAATAACAACTGTTACATCCTACATTGTATACTACTGCACTCGACCGCGTTAGCACCCAGGGGCCTCAACTCAAAAAATCACGATTTTTTAGGGGTGGTTGCTTACCCGAGCACCCCCCTCGAAAAACTGTGCAAATGAAATATTTCATTTATCAAGTGACAGATTACGTCTTTGAGGGAAAATAAAATTACGAAATTAGTTGAGTCGTCATTGATTTTCACAATGAAGAAACAGAAATGATCACAAAAAATATGCACATTTTATTACAATATTAATTACGTACCACTAGAATTTAGGAAATTAAAAACATTTGAGTCTGTTGGAACAC